GACGTTTTAGGGATCCCTGGGTGGCGCAGCGGTTTAGCGCCTGCCTTTGGCCCAGGGCGGGATCCTGGAGACCCGGGATCGAATCCCACGTCGGGCTCCCGGTGCATGGAGCCTGCTTCTCCCTCTGCCTGTGTCTCTGCCTCTCTCTCTCTCTGTGTAACTATCATAAATATATAAAAATGTAAAAAAAAGACATTTTAGAGCGCCTGGGTGGCTCAGTTGGTTAAGCATCTGCCTTCAGCTCAGGCCGTGATCCCAGGGTCCTCGGATCGAGCCCCGCATCCGGCTCCCTGATCCATCAGGAGTCTGTTTCTCCCTCTGCCTCCGCCTCTGCCTGCTGCTCGCCCTTTTGTGCTCGCTCGCTCTCTCCTTGTCAGATAAACAAATAAAATCTTATTATTATTATTTTTTTATCTAGGTGAGACCTGAAATGCTATCAGTTTTTTCAAATGGCATTTTAATAGGCTTCCCAGGAGATTCTAATGTCATGGTAAAGTTTGAGAATCCTTGGTTGAGGCCAACCATTTGGGTTGGTGCATCATTATCTATTTCTGTAGAACAAACCACCCCCAAAAGTTAGCATCCTAAACAATAACCATTTTATTTGCTCGTGACTCCATAGGTTAAGAGTTCAGGCTGGGCTGCACTGGCTGGGTCCTCTACGGTCTCACCTCTGATAGGATGGCCAGATTTAGCAAATAAAAATGCATGATGGCGTGTTAAATTTTAATTGCCAAGAAACAACAGATAATTTTTGTCCGTATAAGTATGTCTTGGGCAATTATTTATGCTCAAAAATTATTCATTGTTAACATAAAATTAAAATTGACCCAGGCATCCTATACTTTCTTTGGCAACCTAGCTTAGGATCACTTTCGTGGCTGCGGTCATCTGGTGGCTCTACAGAGCCCGGGCAGTCTGATGGCCTCGTTCCTCCGGTCTGGCAGCTGGTGCTGGCTGTCAGGTGGCATCTCCCTCCATGTGGCCTCTCCCCCTCAGGGAGCCCAGCCTGGTGGCAGGAACATTCCAAGAGGGCACATGTGGAAATTACAAAGCCTCTTGAGGTCTAGGCTCAGAATAACCTCACCTGGAGGGAGGTCTGGCCTCTGCCCTCGGCTCCTGGGAGGTGATCTCTAGGCCTCTGCAGTATCTTGCCTGATAGGGCTTTGACCCCTGGGAATCCCAACAATGTGATTCATGATGGGCTTTGGGACATGCCGTATCCCTTGCAAGCCCCAGAGGAGCCGGTAACTGTAGGTCAGCATGTGATGGGGTGAGGTCAAGCTCCAGTGGGACTCTGGACACCAAGGCTCAGCAAGCTTCCCTCGTTGGCAATACTCTTGTGTGCTGTAGCCAGGAGGAGCCTACACCATCCAGAACTCCATGGGGAGGTTGACCAGAAGCTGCAGGTTTGGACTCCTACCTGCCATTCACTTTGTCCCTTGGCTGGTTCTACTTTGTAACCTTTTGCTATTATAAAACTATAACCCCAGGCATAACATCTGCTTGAGCTCTGTGAGTCATTCTAAGTGAGGTGTCCAACTGGAGTTTGCTTGTGGGGACCCCCAAAGTCATAGCCACCCCCTGAACTTGTGGCTGGGGTCCGAATTGAGGGCAGTCATGTGGAAGACAGCTCCCGCGAACTATGTGGTTTGCTTAAACTCCATCACATGCTGCTTCTGGAACATTCTGTTGGTCAAAGCAAATCACAAGGCTAGATCGACTGAAGGCGATATACAGTAGACTCATCTCTGGATGAAAGGGTCGGCAAGGTCACATTGCAAAGGGACACTCATGCATGCATGGAAGGAACTTTGTGGCCAATTTTTGCAAATCTACTACAGACACATGAGTGTTGGGGAGCAGACACCAGGACTGTTCTACTCGGTGACCTGTTTTCCCCACAGGACTTTTCCTATGAATTCCTCAGGGCTGGGACGATGGCTTCTTCATCTATTTCCCCAATGGCCTAGGTCATATCGGGGACTTGGCATACAGGAGATCAGCGTTGGATGAATGAACGTTTGAGTGAATTGACTAACGTAAATCACATCTCAAGCTCTGCTGCACATTAGAACCACCCAGTGGGGAAAAAAAAAAGAACCACCCAGTGAGTTTTTAAAAAATCACCCACTGTTGGATGCACCTGAGAGCCAATAATTTTGAATGCAGGAGTGGTGTATAACCCAGGCCTCAGAATTTTTTTTTAAGATTTTATTTATTCATGAGAGACACACAGAGAGAGAGGCAGAGACACAGGCAGAGGGAGAAGCAGGCTCCATGCAGGGAGTCCGATGTGGGACTCAATCCAGGGACCCCAGGATCACGCCCTGAGCCGAAGGCAGGTGTCAAACCGCTGAGCCACCCAGGGATCCCCAGAATTTTTTTAGAAGCCCCCCAGGTGATCTCAATGTCCAGCTGAGGCCGAGACTCGCTATCCGGACATCCCAGGAGCTTAAAACCTCCAGCTAACGTTTGGACGCTGAGACCCACCTAGAGGGCGTGGAGCTGAACTGAAACTCTAAGTCAGGGCACAAAGACATGAGGTGTTAAATCATCCACAAAGAATGAGTGGCAGGGGGATCCCTGGGTGGCACAGCGGTTTGGCACCTGCCTTTGGCCCAGGGCGTGATCCTGGAGACCCGGGATCGAATCCCATGTGGGGTCCCGGTGCATGGAGCCTGCTTCTCCCTCTGCCTGTGTCTCTGCCTCTCTCTCTCTCTCTCTGTGTGACTATCATAAATAAATAAAAAAATTAAAAAAAAAAAAAAAGAATGAGTGGCAGGGCACCATGGGGGGTGGGGGTGGGGGTAAGTGCCCCTTTCCTGGACCGATGCCTGCTCAGGGCCTATCCCATTCCTGCCACTCCCAGGGCCTGTGTGATCTCAGCAGAGAGCGTTGCTACAAAAAAAAAAACAAAAAAACAAAGAACAAAAAAACCCGTTTTTCAGATCAAACTTCTCAATGGCTTGGCTACTGCCCAGGCTCCCAGCTTGGAGCTGCTCTGGCTTTTTTCTCGGATTTGGTCTAACGGTGCGGTTCCAGAGCCAACTCATACTTGCTCACGAGCTTGTGAAATTTTCAGGACTTTGGCAAAGCAATTGTTGAACACAACCATTATTTTTAAAATAAATAAATTGTGCAAACTTACAGTGACGTGGATTCTATAAAAAGGTCAGGAAAACTCAAGCTCATCACCTTAATTACTACATTTTAGGGCTCTCTGCGCTCCTGAGGATACTATTGTATCCGTAGGGTGGTAACTCTGATTATTCATGCTGATAGGCTGAAATCCATCGCAGTGGAGGTAGTTACAGCACAGAAATTGGTAAATACTATAAATCATGGCTTTTTTCTTTTTTTTTTTACTTTAGTCCAGAGAGTCAGTAATTAAAACTTACCAATGCACCCCTCGATCTCGAGGTTAAAAAAGGAAAGCGGAATGCCAGCCCTGGGTTTCCTCGAGTCTATGGTGAAACCAGTTGCTCTCAGTGGGAGATGCATTTGGAAAGCTTCAAGCCCCCTTCCCAGGCCCCACGCACCTGCAGTTGCTGCTGGCCCCTCTGAAAGGCTCTGTGGCCTCAGGTCCAGACTCCGCCTCCCCACCTCCTTCTGGCCTGTTTTCCGCACCCCTCCACTTTGCATCCCCATCCTGTGTTACATCCTTCCATCCCCACCTTAGGACTGATGACAGGAATGGTCCTGTTTGCCCAGGTCTGCCCTGGGAGCTGGGCTTCCCTTAGGCACACACCCCGCTGCCTGCCTTGACCCAGATCATCCTGGCATCCACACACCAACCCTGTCAAGACCCTCCCAGGGCCTGGCAAGGAGGTCGGGTATACCCCTTCCCCTTCATGCAGTTAGAACTGGTGCTCCAAGGAGCTGCAGGCAGGGCCACCTGAGCTCTCAACCCCCACCCGCCCCTCCCAAGGACACTACTCCTACCCCCCTGCAGGTAAGCAGGCACAGCCAGCTCAAACCCAACCTTAAAGGTCAGCAGGGATCACCTACCACTATAAAAACCCCAGTGCTGGAGGAAGTGCTTCCTTAACACCAGCAGACTCCTCTGAACACCAAACACCCTCCCAGTCTCTCCTGCACACCAATGGCAGCTGGGATGGGGTGGGGGTGGCTCCCCAACCGCCCCCCCACAGGCACTTCAGAACCTCCTGTGCTCCAGCCCCTGCTTTGGGCAGCCCTAAACCACACAGCAGAATTTCCCATCCTCTCTCTGCCCATGACACATTGATGAACTTCCCATCCAGTCAGGACCCACCGGGACGGAGCCGCAGGAACAGACCATCTGTCAATCGCCCTTGGACCCCAGAGCCAGTCCTGCCGGTTGAAGTGTGTTATTTGGATGCTGCAGAGAGATGTGTTTCCTTTATCTGTGAGGCCGTCAACACCTCTCCTCTAAATGACGTAAGCTCGTTCACAAGACTCAATTTTTTTCTTAAGCGATCCTTTTAATTTTTTTTTCCTAATTTCTAATCCAAGGAGAATTTACATACATTGAGATGTATGTATCTTAAGTATACAACTGGATCACTTTTAACAAATACATATCCCACAGTCTTACCAAAATACCGAACATCTCTCTCTTCCAGAAAGTTCCCTCGTGCCCTGTGCCAATCAATCCCCACCCCTCCTCCAACCACCGCCACCCCCAAGGCCACCACTGTTCTGATTTCTACCACCAAAGATCAGTTGTGCCTCTTCTAGAACCTCACAGAAATGAAATCACACAGAATGAACTCTTTTGTGTCAGGCTTCTTTAACTCAGCATAAAGCCAGATAATTATATTTAAGCAATTTTAATTTTCCATGCAGTCTGTGTGCTGGAGAAGGTTTCTAGATTTGGAATCTTTGTGTTGGAATCTAAAATAGCTTTTGTTGGGCCAAGCACATCTTCCCTGCCTCCCTCCCTCTCCCTCCAGGCTTCAAAGACCCTATTTTATCCAGACAACTTCAAAAGGACCTCTGAGCTTTGGCTCCAGGCCTCGCCCTGGTTCCCAGGGCAGAACGAGACAGACCCTGGAGACACTACAGATGGAAGACTACTGCAGGAGGGCCAGAGGTCCTGCAATTTGGTCCAGAAAACAAACGGAACGGGAAGAGTCCATGTTGGGTGAGTGTATTAATTTCCTCTTTCTACTGTAGCAAATTGCCCCAAATTTAGCAGCTTAAAACAACAGAAATTTATCAGGTCACAGGTCAGATGTCCAGGCTCTACCGGTTTCTCTCTGCTCCAGGTCTTACAAGGGCAAAACCAAGGCGTCAGCCAGGGTGGCCTCTGATCAGGGAGTTCTGGGAAGAACCATTTCCAAGGTCATTCGGGTGACGGCCAAGGTCATTCAGGTAATTGCCAAGTTCAATTCTGTGAAGTTGTAGAACTAAGGATCCCCCTTCCAGGCTGGCTGTCAGCTGGGGCCAGTCTTGGCTCCTAGAGGACGCTGACTGACACTCCTTCTCTCATGACCCCCCTGCCCCCCGCGCCCCACCATGGCAGGTTGAGTCCCTGTCATCCATGAAATCTCTCTGCTTCCTCTTCTGATGTCAGCTGGAAAAAAGTTCTCTACTACAAAGGGCTCATGTGATTAGATCCCCAGGCCCCCTACCAATAATCCAACCTAATCTCCCTGCGTTAAGATTTCTAACTTTGATTATTCCTGCAAAGTCCCTTTTGCCATGTGCAAAGTTCAGGAATCCCCAAGACCAACTTCTGGTTGATAATTCACTAGAAAGACTCATAGAACTTAGAAAATAAATCTGTTATACTCATGATTATGTGGGGTGTTTTGTTTTGTTTTGTTTTGCAGTGAGAGGACACAGATTAAAGTCAGCAGCGGTAAGAGGCTGGTGGGGCCGGGCCCAGGAGAGGCCAGGTGTGAGCTTCCAGGTGTCCTTCCAGGAGGGCCATGTGGACAGCCCTTCATTCTCCCAGCAACAATGTGTGACAACACAGGTGGAGTACTGCCAGCCAGGGACACCGACCTGAGCCTTAGGGTCCGGAGTTTTCACTGGGTTTCACCATGTAAATAGAAATGCCTGGCCAAAGGGCTGACCTCTGTCTGCAGCCCCTCCAGAGGTCAAGCTCGGATGTGTGGCCCAAGGCTCCAACCCTAAAACTTATTGTTTTCAAAGACTATCTGGCTGGCCCAAGATCCCCAGGGAAACAAAGGCTCTCTTATCAGACAGGACCTTTCAAGGGCCCCAAGGTAACTTCCCAGAAGCTGAGGGCAAAGGGCAGATCTCTCCTTGGCCAAGGCCAATCTCTTCCTGCACACCACAAAACTAGCATTTCCACAGGTTCCAGGATAGGGAGGACATCTCCGGGGAGCCACTCCTCTGCTAACCCCAGTGAGGGTCACTCTTCCAGAGTCCAAGGGAGTAGCATTTCCCAAAGTGTGTGCTTTGGAACCCAAATCCTACCAGTATTTCCCAGGAAGGTTGTGTGGTCAAACAGCGTCTGAAACTGTTGTCCCTCCATACCCTCCTTTCTCGGTGACCCACTTGGGCTTCAGCGGAAGCCCGGGGAAATCCTGCCACAAAGACCCCCGCTGCACCTCACTTAACCCAGCGTTGCCTTATCCATGGAGCCGTCCTCGTGTGATCTCTAAGGTTCTACCAGAGGTATTTGGGGAAAGTGGAACTGTGCCTTAAATAATCTTTGCAACCTGAAGCCTCACCACCAACCCTCTGGACCTCAGTTTCTCCATCTGCAGGATGAGTTATTGTTTTGCTTCCTCTCTGAGCAGGTCTTTGCAAATTAAATTAGCTAACATACACAAAATGCTTGGTTCATCCTATACATCTGACTGATGGTAGCTATTATTGTTGGATTTATTTTTAGGAACTAAAGTGTCTTCACTAACCTTACCTCTTGCTTCTTCGTCACTGTCAACACCAGGTCCAAAGAGCCCGTGAAATATCTAGTAAGGCGGTCATGATTTCGGCCCAGGAAATCGAAAATGGCCTGGCATGTTGGCAACCGGTAAGTGATTCTCCTCTCGAGGTTCCCAAAGATCTGATGAGCTAACTAACTGGAAGGACCCTGTCTAATGTGTGTGAAGTGACTGAGGGCACCATGTTCAAAGGGACCAGGAGGGTCACGCTTTTACTTGCTGGTCACTTTTCTCTCTTAGACATTTATCGAAAGAGAACACTCTGGGGGTGCCTGGGTGGCTCAGCCGGTGAAGCATCTGCTTTCGGCTCAGGTCATGATCTCAGGGTCCTGGGATGGAGCCCCGTGTCGGGCTCCCTGCCCAGTGGGGAGTCTGCTTCTCCCTCTCCTTCTGCTCTCTCTCTCTCAAGTAAATAAATAAAATAAAAAAGAAAGAGAGAGAACACTCTGTGTTGGAGCTGCTCCTAGAAGGGACACATGGGCCTCTGACCTAACCCCCGAGCCCCCCAACCACATCCCTCTAGAGAACCCAACAATATACCCTCCTTGAGCCTGCATGGCACTGCTTGGCCTCATCAACCAGCCATACAAACCAGCCAAAGGATGACCTAAAAGGCTGCCACTCCCCACGTTTTCAGGGTTTCTCCCCAGCCTGTCGGCCCTCTGATCTCCAAGCCCCGTGGCCTCCCAGACCTCTGCTCGGCCTCATTCTTTTCCCATGTGGCTCCACACATGACTCCCACCCTCAGCCTGGCCCTTAGGTCAATGTCTGGTTTGGATGACTGGTCCTCTTGGCTTTGACCTCGGGGCCCCTTCAGACACAACTCCAATATCACTTTCAGCCATCACAGTTTAAAGCAGGTGGAGGCCCCTTCCTGGTGCCCTAGGATCCTCCTTGACATTCAGGGAGGGAGTGTGAGTACATCTGCAGGCGATGCTGAGCCATCCACGGGAAGGAGCCATCCTGGGAAGAGATCTAGGAAGGGGCCGGGCTGACCACGCTGCAGTTCAAAGCTGGACTTCCTGTGTGCACACCATGCAGCAAATGAGTCAGGTTTGGTTTGCTTTGCTTTTTTTTTTTTTTTACACCTGACTCATCTTCTAAGAGAACCCTAAGCCATTAAGAACAATGAACATGAGGGCGTCTCACTGCTCAGTCCCGACGAGCGTGTGACTCTTGATCTCTGGGGTTGTGAGTAATGCCAGGTGAAGAAAGGGTAAGTTACCTTTATGGATCACTACCGGTGGGGAGTGGTGCCAGGCTTCTTCCCCGGGCCCGTGGGCCCCAGCAGCCTCTGCTCTGCCCTGTTGCGGCGTCACCCCCAATCTCCCTGGGTCTCCTTGGCCTGACACACAGGTGTGCACCATCTAGCAAGCAGTCCCGGCTCCGTACTCTCTGCGAAGGACGCCTGGGGCTCTGGAGAGACACCTGCTTCAAGATGGAAGAACCAGGTGGACTCCTCAAAGGACCTCCTTCCAAATCCCCAGGCTCCCAGCTCATCCCCGCCACGCATTGGTCCTTTGGTTCCCCTTCCTGGCCCTCCATCCCTTCATGAACACCGGTGGCTCAGGTGCCCTCCCTTCTGCTGCAGTGGGTTTTCTGGGTCTCCCCCCAAATCGTCCCTTTCTGGTGAGACTAGTCCAGGCTCGGTCTTTACTGCCATCTAGTGGCCCCCAGGTTCACCGCAGGGAGGAGTGTTCCAGAACAGGGAGCCGAAGTCTAGGCACCTTTAAAATGATGCTGTAGTTTAGCTTGATGGGGCTCAGAGTCTCCACCTGGCAAACCCAGGGCCAGCCTTCTGGAAGGCAACAGTCTTGGCGTGGCCCTGGGGGGGCCCGCGTGAGGAGCAAGCGGCTGCCGAGGCTCGTTCTGCTGAGGCCCCGAACCGTGGGCACCTGGCATCCCAGGGAGGCTCCCCCACCTCGGATGGAGGGCTCCACCCCTCTGCTCACCAGAGAGGCCAGAGGGTGTGGAGGGCAGTGTGGCCAGAGCCCAAGAGGGATGTGGAAGGCAGAGGTGGGCCCCGGGGGCCCAGGGGAGGAAGGTGTCGCGGGTTTGGAGGTGTTGGAGTGACTTGTGTCCTGGCAGAGGAGGCAAGGGGCACAGGGCCATCCTGCCCCGGGCTGGCCCTCTGAGGAGTCGGGTGGCCAGGGTTCCCATCCTGACCCTGCTGCTCACTCGGGGAGTCTTGGAAAAGGAGCCACCACCCACCTCCCTGCTGTTGCTAGAATCTAGAAGCCCTGGCGTATCCACTTCCTGCAGCTGCCCTAACAAACGACCGCACTGGGGTGGCCTAAAGCACCCCGGTTGTCCTCGCCCGGTTCTGGAGGCCCCATGTCCAAACCCAAGGAGTCAGCAGGCTTGGCTTCTTCTGGACGCCCTGAGAGACTGTTCCCTGCCTCGTCTCTCCCGGCTTCTGGAAGACGGCGACAATCCAGGTGGCCTTGCCCCTGTGCACACATGTGCGCGTGTCTCCTCTTCTTACAAGGCCACAAGTCGTGGTGGCTTAGAGCTCTAGTCCACGCCACGCAAGAACATCTTCATCTTGATTTGATCACATTGACCATGACCCTATTTCCAAGTGAGGTCACATTTCCGGGCGGGGAGGACTTGAATGTGTCTTTTGGGGGGACACCATTCAGCCCACAGCAGCCCTCAGATGGATGGTGCATTACTGGGATACCATCTTACCTTGGGGTCAACAACAAGCTCCCCTTGTGACGGACGCCCCGGTCTTGACCCTCCACAATGGGCTTGTCTGTTCCCACCTCAAAATGTCCCTCACAGCTGGCTTGTTCACCTCCCACATTCAGCTCCATCATTCCCCCATCTTTATTTTATTTTTTTTAAGATTTTATTTATTTATTCATGAGAGACACAGAGAGAGAGACAGAGACACAGGCAGAGGGAGAAGCAGGCATGGGACTTGATCCCGGGTTTCCAGGATCAGAACCTGAGCCAAAGGCAGACACTCAACCACGGAGCACCCCCAGGCATCCCCATCTTTAAAAGGCTACAGAGATGCTCCTACCCTGTGACATGTCCCCAGACCAGCCCCCGGCCCGACCCTCTCTCGCCCCGCCCCCCCCCCCCCCAGGCACCTGCAGGTAGGTAGGCCAGCATCAGCTGCCATCACATGGGCGGCAAGTGTGTTTTAGGGTCAACACCACCGAGCTCAAGCCCCTCAGCTGAGCAGAAACTCCTCATGGTCAGCAGGGCTCTGAAGATGTCTGCACTGCCTGATTTGTCCAGGCGGGCCTCTGAGGGACAACTGTGCTGAGTGTAACAAGGAATGTTCTAGAAAGTCAGGCTTTTCTGGGTCAAGTCGTCAGTCACTTTTGATCTTTGAAAATTTTATTTATTTATTTATTTATTTATTTATTTGAGACAGAAGGAGAGAGAGAGAGCGGGCACAAGCGGGAGGGAGGGCAGAGGGAGAGGGAGGGGCCCCCGCTGAGCAGAATGGGGGGGGGGAGGGAGTCTCGATCCCAGGATCCTGGGATCATGAGCTGAGCTGAAGGCAGATGCTTAACCATCTGAGCCACTCAGGCTCCCCTGTCAAGCAATTTTGTATGCTGACGACAGATTTTGCCCAAGAGCCTTGGGGAAGACCGAAGGCCGGCGGTGAGGGCCACGGGAGGACGTTTGAGACCTTGGGGCCCCCCCTAGACCGCCCGGGGGAGCTGGTGCCGGGCCTGCAGAGCCAGACAGCAGACTGCCCTCACCCCCACGCGGTCGCCCGCCCCGTGGGCCGGCTCCACGCGCAATCGCACGAGGCTCTAATGAAATGCTGGTTTAAAATCGCCTGATCTGCGGGAATGTTCCGAGCAAATTAAATATCCAGCATCCGAGAAGCCAAGTGGCTTGGAAAAAAAAAAAACGCATTTATGGCTTAACAAAAGATGGAGCAGTTCGACAAGTAAGACACAGCACTAATTGGCAGCAGCCACATTTTGTTTTGCTCCCCGCAATCGCCTCGTGGAATTGTAAAAAAAAAAAAAAAAAGAAGAAGAAAGAAAAAAAGAAAAAGAAAGAAATAGAAAAAGAACATGTTGAAGCCTTGAAATGAAACACTTAAAAAAAAAATAGGCTAATGTTCTCAGAGACCA